GTAGTAACACCTTTGTTTGCATCTGTAAATCCTTCGCCTGTCAGTGGATTGCCTGAAAAAAGCTTTTTTTCCCCAGCTTCTCCTGACGGGGGTGTTTCAAAAGCTTGCTCAGACTGTGTTTGGCATTTTGTTTCTCCCTTCTCTCAGTTCTAAGGTGTTCCTGCCTCTTTCATGATACATAACTTCTGACAAAAAATAGCCTGGAAAAATATTCCCATACATGTGTCTAGACCATACTTCTGTTTTAAGCAGTGATACATTATTATATTCTACTAAGACACTAACCTGAAAGTGTCTTAAATACCAAGCAATTGTTGTGCCTTCCAAGTTTAGCCTAACCTGTAAAAATACTGTTTTTGACCCATAAGAATAACTAAGGAAATGAAATAATTAGAATTCAGACTTGATAAAAGTGACCATAAGTCACTGAATTGTGAGGAGTTCAAAACATGTATTATATATTGACTGCCCAGAACAGACGGATATTCCAGGCTGTCAAATAAATATTTATTCAGTTTTGTTCTGTAAAAGTCTCTTCTCTCCTCAGTGCCTGGAACAGCTGTTTCAAGGCAATTCCATATTTAGATGTGTGCCAATGTATTTCAAATGCATTAAGGAAATGCAAGAACTAAACCACATACAGTTAATCAAATTTAAAAACACAGGGTAAGAGAGGAGCTTAGATGAATTGATGAGAAGATACATGCATAAGAGGAAAGAGCCTCAGCTTTTACTTTTATCCTTTGTGATCCCTGCATAAGGCTATATGACAAATTTTTTTTTTTTTTTTTTTTTAAAGATTTCTACAAGAATGTAGGCAGCTGTGAGCTCACTCTTGCTTAGTGATGAATGGGGCACAGGAACTGAAGAGATTTAAAGGAAATATAAAGGAAACAGGACATCCTCCCTTAAAATGCACATAAGCAAAACCACTGAAGGAAGGCACGTAACATCTATAGGTTCCTTGCCTTCCAACTCTGACAATCTGCTTCTGAAAATGCCCAAAGTTACCAGGATGCCAACATTACACAGAGACATTCAGGAAGCATCAGGTTCCTCTCATATATTGGCTTACCATGATAGGCTTCTCAAAGACTAGCACAAGACAGTGAATTCACAGCCTGAATTACTGCACAACAGCTTTCCCATACCAACAAATTCTTACTTAACCATAAAATCAAACATGAAAGATATATATTAATGACAGAAATAAAAAATTATCTCAAAGGATACCACAGGTGATTTAAGTAAAGGACTTGCATGCAATAACGCTAAATATTTAAGATGTATTTCGGAAAATAGCTATTAATGATAACACACCAGACCACTCTACAGTTGCATACTGATCAGTGGAACAACATTATACCCTCACAGTGGAAAAGGGACAAGTTTTCCTTTGTTTCACAATACGTGAAAGTTATTCAGGAACAATCCAGTAAAACTGTGAAATTAAACTCAAGCAGCTCATTTAATGCTTAGCTAAAATGATATGTAAATTACAAAAGCAGAAAAATCTGTTGCTAGTACAGTACTTAAAAATTAATTAAGTTTAAGTACATTTCTAATTCCAACACTTTTGTGCAGCATAAAACTGGGTTTTTTTTATTTATATTCACATTTCAACTCCACGTGACTGCGCTTGTTTCTTTAGGTCACAACTTACAGGAGAAACAGTCCTTATTTCAATGCTGACATTACTCAAGACCACACTTAATATTAAGTAAAGTAACAATGTAGTTCACTAACAAAAAAGAAATAAAATCAAGGGACAAAATAAGGAAAATAAAATAATTCAAATATCTAAGCTGTGTAAGTTATAGGACTGTTAATGAAAAAGAGCTACTTGTGCTGGAATAGGGTCTGGTGAACACAAAAATTAAACAGCAATAGCAGCACTTAAAGACAGTGGGCACCACATCCAAAACCACAGTGCGACTTGGCCATGTGCCGTCAGTGAGATCATCTTGGCATTTAAGTTTTGCCAGTTTAAGATACTGGATAATTCCTAGCAGATAAAAACCAGTTTCCTGACAGAGCAGCTGAAGTTCTCACAGAAACACAGTAAAACCCAAATCAAAGGAGCAAGCTTTGGAAGGCTGCAGAAGACCCAGGAATATCATTAGGAGGAGCAAGCGGAGGCTTTGGGAGAAGCTTTCTAGGGTAAATTGAAAGAAGAAATTTAGCAAAGATTTGGCAGGACTAGGAAGGACCACAAAACACCAGTGCTCCTTCAGCCATCAATTTGCACTTCCATCATTCTTCTCTGTAAGGAAGAGACCATCCTTGTCGTCATCATCCTCCTCCTCCCCAGGGCTGAGCCACCATAACTACAGCTCTTATACCAGCTGTAGAAGAGCTAAGGGGTACAGCTAGTCACTCTTGGGGACCAGTCCTTTTTGGTATAGGAAGTAAGAAATGTAGTAGCCTTCTGCTGCTGAATATATAGGTGGCTGCTCTCCATCAGCAGAGACAACACCTCTGCCTGCAGCCAGCTGGGCTTCCATGAGTCAATCAATTATTTGCTTCTCACCTTCATAATTAAAGAAAAGTCACACCTCCACTTTTCTTAAATCGTTGTCAATGAGCAGTCAGTACCACTTGTGCTTCAATTTGTGAAGTGCACGGCCCGAATTTGTGATGGGTGAGCACACCCTGCTCGCTCTCTCAGGGTGCTCATCTTAGGGGTAAGCAGAAATGAAGGGCAAAGCTTTTTTTGCTATAAGGCAGTATACTTATGATGTAAAAGTCCTTAATGGCCTCAGCTGTCCCTCCCACAGCTGCTGACCATCAAGACCCATGAAAAGTGAAGGAGAGGGAAAAAGAAAAATAATAAAAAAATGAATCCTGATATGGTCAGGGTGAAGAATTGCCACAGAGGTATGTATCTTCCCCAGTACTGTTGCTCATCTGCCCTAGGAACCTCCCAGTGAGGCTATTGCAGGGGCCCCAGGGCAAAAATAGGGTTGGTAAATACTTATTTATATTTGAATTCTGTGGATTGTATTTGTAGCTGTTTCTGAACGTAGGAATTGTTTGCGTTCTCGTTATGCTTCACTGGTTTTGCTCAACAGGATTATTTCTGTAGCCTGTTTAAAAATTGTGATATAAAAGCAGGATTTTAAAAGTGTTTTTTATGCACTGATCTCTGAGGTTGGTTTCTGTCTCTCTCCAGGAGCTAAATTGAATGTATTTTATTATGTAAAAAGAAGCTTAATTTTAAATGATGAAATAAACAGTCAACACCCCTCCCCCTTTCCTAGGTTATAACAATAGTGTCCTATTTACAGAGAAGGTATTAAAGAAAACTGAACTACTTTCTCAGGTGAGGAAATGTTAGGAAATGATACTTTAAAGAAATTATAGACTTTAAAGTATAAAAGTGGTATTTTTTTCCAATAAGAGACTAATACAGATTATAAAATCTGATATTTTCTAGAACATTATTTTTCTACAGTGCTATGAAATGCAGACATACAAATGTTTCATGATGTGTTATCTGGTGGGCGATAATCATCAGTAACCTTGAGATTAATAAAGCATTTTTCTGGAATGTCATCTCTGCTGTAACTGATGATGTTCTTTCAAAACAGCCTCACTTTTTAAATTACTTTTAGGTTGATGCAAATTCCTGAAGCTGAAGGAAAAGGTGAAATTCTACCTCCAACTATACAAAAAATAATAAAGGGATACAACAAGTATCTACGTCCGTTTTTTGATAGTAAGTAGAAAAGCTGTTTTAATAAGGTTGAGCCATAACAAAATGCAGTGTCTCAAAGTCAGCAATGAGAGCAAATGTTTTCTCGCTGTACTTTTTTTCTCCAATGTTTGACAGTGACTGATCTGATTATACATGATGTGCTATGATGTAAGAAGATACAGCGTAATAGTTTTTGTAGCCCAAGGTGAAACTTATATATTCCAGGCATTCACAAGTGAAACTTCCAGACTCTGTTAGAAACTTGGCTATTGATGTTCAAGCGTCCTTAGTGAAATACGCTGTAATACCTTTCCTGTTTAAAAGCAGAATTTCCCCTAATTTCCTAAATACTGTAAAAAAATTTGATTAAAGATAAGAAAGCTTTATATATCAAATTGTTCATAAAAGAACAAGCAAATCTTGTTGCTATACCAAGTATTATGTGCATCTACTATAAGATTGCAAGAGAACTATTTAATAAATGCTTCTTGCCTCAGGTCTTAAAGGTCGTTGAACTGGTTCACTGCAGAACTGTGAGGTAAAACGAACTGAAAATGTCAGTTCCCTGTGTCAGCAGGCCACGGTTGCCAGGTTGGAAGACCCACATAGTCTTCTGCACCAAGGCTGATTTTACTGCCCTGCAGTGCAGGGTTAGGCACCTGAAATCTCAGTGACAAACATCTCCCTGGCTTGAATCAGGCAATTGTACCTATCAGAAATATTGAGGAGTTACGAGGCGCGGTGAAGATCTCTGCCTGGACTAACTGCACAACTCGGAAACAGAAAGTATTCTGCATGTTGAAAAGATGCCCAGTGCCATGTGTCTGTCAGAAAATAAACTTACAGGGTGAATGCTAGGCAATAGTTCTTAAGTTAGATATTCAGAAACATCAGGGGTTTCAAACGAAGACTTTTACATCCCTTTATATCCTGCTTAAAAATGGTTGACTAAAGAGTTTCTCAGACCATACCTTTACCTCTTGCCATTCAAATACCTGGTAAGAATATCAGCCGGTTCAATAAGGACATGCTGCATCATGTGCAATTTCTAAATGCATTTCATAAAAATATTAAGATGAATCTGTATTTTAGGTCTAAAAGGAAGGGAAAATGACTACTTCATCTGTTTGGTTTTACTGTAATTGTCTCAGCTGCTGATACAACTGCTTTAAAGTAGTTACATGGTCTAAGAAGATTATCAGCAAAATAAAAGTAATGCTAATAAATGAACTAACCCCTTCTCATTGGAGAAGATGGAAAATATACTGATGGCCACTAAACATACAGTTGTTTCATTCATTACTTCATCCTAGTACTTGAGATATGTTGGCACTGCCATGATGGCTGTGCTTTGGTAGACAGCAAACAGAATTTTGTTGCAAAATCATATGATAGTAGTTAAGACCAATAGTAAAGTACTTCTGAGTTACGAATCTTCCTTTTCTAATGTGACCCAATTTTTTTGTCAGCTGTTGTAATGCAGTGTGGCTATAGCTCTTTTTCTGGCAGGGAATTTTTTTGGAGGGACTTTCTGTGTTTGCCTGGAAATCCCAGAAGAGCTCAAGCATAGATCAAGTCTATGCCACATGCAGAGCCAGTCTAGTGCTTCCAGACAGTGCCAGTATTGCTGCAGGTGCTCGCCATGGCTCAGGCATGCAAACACTTGCATCTTAGAAATCTTTGATGTGTATATATTAGCCCTGCTGCTGAAGGAATGGGATAAGACTCTGAAAAATGCATGTTATTGATGCCATTTCTAAATGCAGAGCTGGTAGTTTTGTGAGAAATTACTTTTTTGTAGGAGTAATTTAGGTTAGAATGACCCAGGAAGAGTTCATCCCAATTTGTGAACCTGCAGCTTTTTGCAAGATCATTTGGGAAGAATTGGGAACATTTTCCATGTGATAGAGGCATGTATGCTGGGCGTGGAGTGGGGAGTGGTATCTGCCTAGCCCTGACCCCTCTCTGTTACTGTCAAGGTGGGCTACGGCTCAGATGAGATTCAGGCCCAGGTGAAGCTATTGCTTTTCTCAGAAGCAGATCTTGTAAACCACCTAAATCCTCAGCTTAACAAATCAGTGGATTATACCGATCTGTGTGACCACAGATATCCTAGCTGTCTTTTGTGTAATATTTTGCCTGTTTCTATGGATATTATCTGCTTGCAGGTGTTGTATCTTGTATCTGTTCTTTGTGAGAAAGAGATTTAAGTATAACTGGCTTTACTCAGGATTGTGTCAATGGCTACACTACACCTGCTAAATACCTGGTGAAGCCAGAGTATCAGTCTAGTTGTTTATACCTCTTCTGTGACTTTTTTTACCCTACTTATCCCCCCAAATCCTTAATTTCTTTGATATGATATTTGCATGTTAATAGTAAGAGACTGACCAATCAAAAATGAATCTGGACATCTAAGTGCTGGTTAGAATTGACTAGGCTAATGAACAAATGTATGATAAAAACATAAACTGGGGTATTCTGGTCCTGGTGGAGACTGTCAGCTACTATAAAGGCCTGTGCAGCTCTAATTGTGTCAACCTATCGGTGCTGATTTACTCTGAGAAGGAAATTTGTGTTTCTAGAAACATGAACAGACAAGGATGTATGTGCATATTAACCCCAAGATCTATGTTTGCTGTCTGAAGTGAATGAGAGGATTTTCATAAAATGGAAATCTAGTATGTTGATATGCAGAAATATCAAAAAATAATATCCTAAAGTCAGCCTCTGTAAGACACTTGGCCCCCTTTTTTTTTTGCCAAGATTCCTTTGCTTTCAAAAGCGTGCACGTTCCTGTTTGTTTGTGTAATCAGTTAGATATACACTCATAAATATGCGTGAAGAAATTTGTCATAAAACTAGATGGTATTATTTGTTGGCATCTGCAGTGCTTTGAGCTTAATGTCAGCTAGTCATAATGGAACACTGAAATGTGATTTTTATCAAGTGTGAGAGGGCCAGAGGTTAGCTTGAATTTTAGAATAACGTAATTCAAAGTCATTTCAAAGTTATTTGTCCTTGTAATTTTTCTTCAGGCAGGAAATGGGGATTTTTGAAGTGATGCATGGTGCCAAGATACAATCATACTCTTAGAAAATCAGTGACGCTGAACTCCTTAATACTTAGCAAAGTGTTTTTTTAGTCCTGAAAAGAAAACATTGAGTATAAACAAATGATCGTAAAATGAAGGTTCCTTTCCAGGCTTAGTATGTCAAAGGTTTGCAGACAAGGAAAAATGACCGAGCATTTTATGTTTGTCTGTGGTGGGTGGCACATACCAGTTACCAAATTATGGGGTACTTTTACACAGTGTTGAGTACAGAGGACTCCCAGCTGGGCTGGTTACTTGGCTCTGCTCTAATCTGAATGATACTATTAAGAATGTTGTCTTTCCTTAACTATAGCATTTGAATGTCCCTCTTTGAGCCGGTTCATCAAGGAAGTCTTAATAAACTGAACACACAGAGCTGGGAAGTTCCATTAGTGAATTAAAAAAATTTCTGATCTAGAATAATTTTAGCCATTCTTTGGGCTGGAATATGAAATACTCCTATATGAGTGTTAGCAGATAGTACTCTGAAGGTAATAATATCCATCCTAGACTTTTAGATAGATGTGAAAGTCTTCTATAGAAAAGCTGACATAAGAAATTTAAAAATGCACAGTTATTTCCCTTAAATGTGCTACATAACCCTGGCACATTTATTTCAGCAATACAAGCTGATTTCAATATCAGGTTTTCTGCTGAAACTGTGTAGACCAATTTTATAACTTCACGTGTAAGGGATGAAGAAAATCTTGTAAATAATTTTATACAAATAGATTTTGTTCTGTGATTGAATGTGATAATTTAAGTGTTCTAATTAAAAAGAGAGAGGCTAGGAAAAGGTCACAGCTAAGTACATTTGAATATGGAAGCTGCTTACAAGTGGTATAGAAAAGTGTCATGCTTAAATCCGTGATTCTAAACACATTTAAAAGGTTATTATTCTTAGCTTTGTAGTGAGTAACACATTTTATGGTATTAAGGTTTAAATTCAAGAAAACAAATTAAATCTTTGAGTCCAACCTTCTGCACAAGACCAGTCATCATATTTTTCTCCCAAATGTTGTTTATATTAAGTTCCATGAATTTAGATGAAGTCATTTTAGTCCTCAGAAGTTTACAGTTCACACCAAAAGAGATCAGGAGATATCGGGATGTCAGCAGTGTCTAAGATTTAGAGGGACAAGCTCAGAGGGTACATGAGAAGGAAGTACCAAGTAATTGTCGTATAAAGATGATTTTATGTACCGATTGACCAACGTCTAATCCTTCAGAGAAAGGCAAAAATCCTATTACATGTATGGCCAGTTGTATATTGGAAAAAAAAAAATATCTCTGGAATTCCTGCT